CCGACTTTAGTAATGATGATCGAGGCTAGGCCGAAAATTCAATCGCTAAAATCTTGGTTCAGAGTGGATCAATTTGACTGAAATTTTCAGCAAATTCCCATTACATTATCTAGTTTTTACCTATTATAGTGAGAACTGCCAGCTCTTTAGCGAATCTCCCATAATGTATCTTTAAAAGAATGATTTAAATGCGATAACAGTCGCTGTAACCATATTCCCGTATCATTGTGATCAGATATCTACAATAATAGGGTTTCGATTTTAACATGATGTGTGTGAAAATTGTTATCGACGCAACTTAAATATTCACAGTAATGAAGCCAATATAAATAATTAATTATTATGAAACAAATGGGTTTCAAGTAATAATCATATAGATTTAGTTCATCAACACTTGTATTATGTTATTGGTCATTTAGACAATGCAGGAAAATATTTAGACTGATCCTGTAATCGTAGTTTTTTCAATTCGGACAGGATTTGTCAAGATAAATGATTGATATAGTCCCATCATATATGTTTTATCCGTATTTATCTCACGCAATGCACTCTTTTCGTAACGAAGCATCCACAACACATGCGACATATTAACATTTCCTTTAGCAATGTTATAATTTACAACAAATCAAAATGAATGTAGTCCATTAACTTTCATACGTTAGTAATCTATGTTTTGTTTATTATAACTTTAATAAGAATAACTTCTGCTAATCTCACTACTTAAACATACATTATGCAAGAGCATAAATCTGTCTATTGCAGGTCTTTCTTTAGGCCTGAAATGTTATCTAAATTATTAATTAGACATTAATTAACTTATGCAGACCCTAATCAACTATAGATGGCATCGCTAGCCTGCGATCTTAAGTGGATAACGCAATTCTCAGTCACACACACAATTAAAGATACTGCGGAATTAGCAAATTTACTCTAAACAATCTAGTTACAAATTATAATCTGATACAATACTAGACCCGAAAGGCCCGCTGTTAGATTTTTTTGTTGATAACTTAGGTAATGATTAGTACAGCCAGCATGTTAATCCACATCAGCTTGTGTATACAGTGATAAGACGTGTAGTCCCTGTGACGTCACGCACCAATCAACTGGATTAAGGCTGTAATCGAAACATTCAGGAGTGTTTTAGAGGGTATGACATATAAACGGTTAAATCTATAATTTCATATTTTCTAAGAAAGTCAAAACATAATTATTTCTATGTCTTTTGCTCAATAGGTTGTCAACTCACTATTATACGATCATAGGTATTATTCTCCCACTTAAAATCCTTTGACCCCGGAAATAATAACACAATTAGCTCCCTTGTTTTTCTATTCCCCCCCCCCATGGAATAGCTATCTTCAAACGTTTGAATTTGAAGTTGAAAATGATGTTTTTGTCAATTTCTCAAATGGCAATAGTGAATTATAGGATTAATAGGATTATTCTTTAACAAGGTAGGACTGTTTATAGATACCATCTATTTTAAGGCTTTATTTTAATAAATTTTAAAAATATAACTTACAAATATGAAATTGCAACTTTAATATATCGAATGAGATTGGTGTTCAGTTGGCTTAAGTGTTTATAATAAATACTGGCTTCAAGTATGCAGCAAAAAAAAAAGAAAAAAAAAAGAGAAAAAACGTCTGTGTCGCCAGTTCTGGTGTTTTTGGGCAAACTGTAGACGTTCACGTCGATGGCGAGGGGTGAGCATTGGTCTACGGCAATGGATGTTCTCTCTGGTGGCACGTCGGCGCACTGCATCGGTAATGATGGGTCTTCCGTGTGTTCCCACTGTCTGACGTGCTGTCTCAGATGCCTGTGTGAAGGGATTCTGCACGTGCTGTCGCACAACATGGCAGTCTTGTCGCCTTGTGGTAACCCTTGGCCTACCAGTTCGGAGGCGATCATCGGTGATGTTAGTGGCCCGAAAGCGTTGCTGAAGCCTGTAGATGGCCCGAACACATTAACCTTTAAGTGAACCGAACACAAATTGGCGACCCATTCGGCTAGCCACCTATTCGACCGATCCAGCTGGCAACCTGTTCGTTGGCAACCTATTCACAATTATGCCAACAGTCGGCCAAACTCATCTATTTTTATCAACCAATAAAATCCAACGTTACGTCTATCAGATGAAAGTAGAATATATATTTTTTTTATCCATTCCATTAGCTCAGAATAGAGGTGTAATTTCGCATTATCTTACAAAATTCTGGACATCCAAATAAATATATTCCGAAAGGTAGATAAATAGGCTTGCCAAATATTATTAGTAAAAGTTGGCACAATCATATTAAAGGGGTGCGCTCTCAACCTGAACATAGCCAATTTTTCAATATTCTAAATGTAAAGATAGACCGGTATTTTTTTCGCAGTCGAAATTCGAATCATCGTACAAAATTCTGAACATCCAGCTATATATATTCTGAAAGGTAATTGAATAAGCTTTCTCAATTTTATTAGTTAAAGTTACCCTTCGGAATATATATAGCTGGATGCTCAGAATTTTGTGAGAAATCTCTTTGATCCAGAATCACAATGTATTTGATACATTACAACAACACAAGTTTTATAAAGGGTTGTATTTTAGTTAATATAAGGCGAACAATTTTGAGTAAATTCTTGGGGCCAGGTTCCTCTGAGCTGTCATGGCATGCTGCTGGCGTTGTAGTGTGAATGATTCAACCAGGTATGGGGGTGCATTTTATAGGGCTGGTCCCGGTGAACAGTACATGCAGAATGAGTTAAATGAAAATCATGGAGAACACATTACCATCTCAGAAGTCAGGTTGCGGTTTTTGAGAACATTTCCTGGGTTCAATTCTGTGTTTGGGGAGGAGCCTTAATGTCCAGTTAAAGTTGGAGATGTGGTCACAAATATACAATAAAAACATTTGGCAAGTTTTATGCAATATGCGTCTATTCGGAGTAACATGCCAACCTGACGTTTCTTTTGCTGCTTAGTATATAGATTATTTTGGCACCCCCGGTATCCTCAGTGGTCTCCTTTTGTTCCACTCCACTAACCCTTAAGTACATCCATGGGGAGAAACTTATTCGAATTATCTGCCCTTGATGCCTGTGCTATTTTTATCGACCAATACGCATGATAACATAACGACTTGCCACTGTCTGTTTTGACTAACATAAAAACATCTTCCCATCAAAATATGTTTAAGGACATATTTTTGTGTGCATGTCACTTCTTTTATATTAAATTTATATCAAACTTTCTCAAAATCGAGCGAACAAGCCGCCATATTGTTGTGAACATAAACAATGAAGCTAAGACCGGGTCTTAGAATCAAGCTACGATCAAGGGCAGATAATTCGAATACGTGAATTCCCCATGGTTAAACCCAGGGTATAATGGAATGAGACCACTGGGGATACTGAGGAATGATTTTGATATGACCATTTTATGTGCTCTTTAAATATGAAAAGAACTGGCTTTTCGACACCCTAAGCATACCCTGTCTCATTTACGACAGACGTTATTACATACGACTATCTGGATCTTCATTTGTTTAGACAACGTTAGTTTATTCTCTGAATCGATGAAGGTTGTTTTTTTTTCCAAGATAAAATATGTTTGCACAATTATTAATTTTGTTTAAATAAGCTTTCCATATATAAATAATAAATGAACTTTAATGATTTATTTGTTGATTTTACAGAACGCAACTAGTCGAATATGATTCGTATTTCTCCAGTTTGGTATAGATAATGAATTTGCTATTTTTGTGTGAATATACTGCATCTAGACTCCAGATTCTGGAGCTGGGTTCGTATATGATATGCCTCTTTTCCAAACCCTATTGCAATAAAGTAATTCATCATGATAAAATACAGGTGACAGGTGTTAACGCGCACTTAGACTGATACTGTCATAACTATGTACTATTTTAACGTAAAGACTGGTGTTATTGTGTAACTGAACACATCCAAGTATTAAAAAAACTTGATGAAGAACTGACAATTTTGTAGGAAAATGATTGAAGAATTATTAGTACTTGATAAAGATCGACGTGTGAAATCAATAGAAATCAACATGACCTTTATATGCCTAGAATTTGAATAATTTGTTGACCCAAATGATTGTGAATTAAAGCGGAATTATGGAAGATTAGATCAAGAGCTGAGAATGCTCGCTATAATATTTAAAAAAAATAGATAATATAAAGGGAATATGCTGAAAATTTCAGTCAAATTACCATTTCAATAACACTGTAGCCCCGATTGCCATTGTTACCGTCGTTACGATAATAACGAAAGTCTCGATTATCCATTTTACGGTTAATCACCAACCGTCGTTGAACCGAAGATCGGATTCAAATCTGTTGAAAATCGGACCCATTAGATGTCAGCGAAAGTTGATTATGGTCTTGTCATGTTAATAAATGTCTAATTAATAGTTTATATAACATTTACGGCCCACAGAAAGACCTGCAATAGTCAGATTTAGCCCTTGCACAATGCCTGTTTAGTAGAATTATTTTTTGTTGTGTACCCGACCTTTAATTTAGCACAAGGGCACCGTAATTTTACCAAATATTTATAAGGCTAGTAATCGTTTTGGGAGGGGGCATGTTTGAGGATTCCAATAACGATATTTCCGGCACCACTCTATACTTTACTTGCTTCGTTGCGTAGCAGATATATGACTGGAATTAACGCCACTTGCTATTGGGCGCATTTAACGCAGTGGTTTCTTGTTTTACAGTATTTTAATTTCATTTCATGTAAAAGTTACATCGGAGTTCAAAGTATTAATAATAGATGACAAAGAGACGTATGTTACTCTTTGATCGACACCATTACACATATCGCATTCTCTGGTGATGGTGCTTTATCGCTTGATTCTATCCTTGGTATTGATTGGCTCAGAAGCTTGATGAGAAGAAACTTGTTATTTATTAATACCATTTTAGTTATCCAATGGCAAAGCTTGTCATAGTCAGTAACTTGTATTCTAGGTAGGGGGTATACCCGTATTCACGTGCGTGTGTCCCTTTCCCCTTTAATACAAATGGACTAGTCTATGATGCAAGCAGAGAGGGAAAAAGATTTAAATCTCGGCGGGATTTTACCGTTCTCTAATTATCAAGGGCAGTTGGCTCTGTTTGTTTGGTGATGATCATTAACGACCGACAATGGATATCTCACTCCTTTTTGGATTTATTTACTGCTTGGTGATATCTACAGGTAAGCTTATATATTTATATATTGTGCATCTTATCACATTAAAGCACAAGACGTGCATTTTACTACTTGTCTCTAAAGCATTTAGCAACGATGGGGGTGTTTATAATGTTTGCAATAACGCGTATTTAACTGTTATTTTTGTTTTTACTTAGGTTGATCAAAAACAAACTGCTCTAAGCATTCTATTACGCGTATAAACCGACCGGGTCATTTATTGTATGCATTTGAAAAAAACTAGAACCAGTTGTTTTTTGGGTTTTTTTTAAATGTCTCTGAGAAAATCAAAGCAAACATGTTTTTAATCACTGTAACGTCAATATAGTAGACGCGTTAACGTCTTGAAACGATCTGCTGGGATCGCAGCTTACCAACTTAAAAAGATCGAGGCAATCTGCTAGGTGTGGCTATCTTTCATATCCTGTAACTTCGGGCCTCCATAATTGGGACCCGCATTTTCTACTCCGGCCCCGGGGAGCGTTATACCTATTTCATGTACATGAGGCGTACATTAATGTGTAACGTACTTCACGCCACTGTCGGCGGGTTGACGCCAAAATGAGTGATAAAAACTACTGAAGGCTTGTGTGTGTGTCTCTCTCTCTCACACACACACAAACTTACATTGTGTCATACGATTATACCTTGATGTCTTAATGTAGAAATTTTATTAATTTATAAAACCAACTAAGTCCAGTCTTTTTACATTATTTATTATGGTCATCTATATACGAACCTTTTGATTCATACACACCTTCACATTTGAAAAAAAAACAAAAAAAAAAACGTTTAATATTACAATTTGCGACGTTATAGAGACATTAACAATGGATATTATTCAAATATTGAAAGTACCAGAGGTTAAACTGTTATATTTTCAAAAATAATTTGCATATTCAACAATTAGCATGATTATAAGTTGATTCATAATGACATATTAGTCTGGCTTGCATAGACTTTAAAGTTTTGAAAGTTCTGACACATTATAGATGAAATCAATTTACCAAAACAACGTTCTAAAGTAAATAACACTGTTGAGGACAGAACTCAAAACACAGCATTAATATATAGCTGTAAACACCAGCTACGCAATAAGTTAATAAATGAAATGAAATGGAGTTTAACGTCCTACTGTTCTGCTCCTAACCTAAGTTAATAAAGCAAATACCTATTGACCATTTGACGCAAAAAGTGACGGCTCTCAAGTTTTCGGCCCATGAATTAAACCATGTTCTGAAGCGTTGGTTACGTTTTTTTAAATAGCCAATTTTGTTTGACGGTAAACATACCAAAAAAGAGGAGATAACTCGGGAAACCACGTAAATTGTACGGATAGGCACAAATGAGACAGAATGTAAAACGTTGGCGATTTTCGAGGCCAGCCTTTTTTTTATATATCATCGCATAAATCATCTCATACTTTTCACTTGACAATGTCCAGACAAACACGTGTTTTCCTCCTGGGTTTCGACAGTGGTCATAATTTTGACCCGTGATATCGTAAAAGGGTGTCTGGGTTTTCTGTGAATTCAACAACATGGTACTTTGTTGATTAACGGCTAGCGAAATTCATATATTTTTACACATTTTATATATTGCTCACAGACATATATTAACCAATGTGGAAAAGGGTCTCTGTTCAAAATTTAATTCAATGAAATGAACATAACGCGTTTACGTTTATATAAAAGCAAACACCTCAGCTATCGAAAATCCAATAGAAAAAGCCATTTTAATTTAAAAATCTCGGTATACCATATGGTTAAACAGAGGTATACATATATATACTATTCCATTTGCGTCAATAAATATTTAAAAAAGGGTACAGAGTGAGAACTGTGACAACAGGTGTTATTTTCCTCGCTTGGATTTGGGGTGAGTGTAGTGTCATTACTTTATAAAAATAATAAAATTTCATCTATGAATGAGGAAGGGTATTTTTCTACTTTGGTGTGAGGAAGCATATTATCTGACTATGTTGTGAGATGAGGAAGAACAAAGGGTATATTGAGTAAAAGTGTGCACATAGTGGAATAATAGACACCCCCGTGTTTAAATCGTTAGTAAAATACAGAATCAAATCCCCAACCCACCTTTTGTATATTACTGCTACTAATTTTTCTGTGGGGCTACCAATAATATATAAAAGAAAATTATGAAACGTCTATACACATAACTTAAATATATCTAATGTATTTTAGTGGCCAAAAAGAGAGGACCATTGTCCAGTCTGACCCAGCGATAAAGGTTTTGCAGATGAGTGGCACAGTATCATGGAGAATATTAACAGAAAGAGTCGTATACGTCTATGTTATTTCTCCAAGTGTATCTGCAATGTCTTTGAATTGTTTTCAAGAATTTCGCCGGATGATTCATTTTGCCAAACCTGAACATAAGTGAAGAGTATATACCTAGCTATATGCATAGGAATTGACATTTCAAGACATATTACATATCGTAATAACATACGACACGCAATAACATCATATATTATTTTATTTAATTACATTTCAAACAGTTAATTTCTCTTAGAAATTTCACAAGAAGTTTGTGATTTATTTAGTTTTTCAATACTTGAAATAGCAATGATTTATGACAACGTAATAACGTTTTTATGTCTACTGATAAATTCAACTTTGTATCCAAATCAATTGTAAAATGTACTATTAAATTAATATTTATATTTTAACAAACGTTCTTTTCGTGAAATGGTGTCAAAATGTGTGAGTTGGTTGTATTTTACGTTTTTACGTTCGCTTCCACTGAGGTGATATCGCAGACAGGTGTCAAAATTAGTGCTACCAGTTGATATACGTGTTGTTGATGCGTCGCTTCCGTTTGGGGTGTTGAACGCGCCAATGTCATTTCAGATACATATTGTCCCCGCCCTTCGAAGAAAGCAGGGGACCATTAAAATTGGTCTGTCTGTCCGTAACACGTTTTGGGACAAATTAATTTTCCTTCTTATTGAGCTAAAATGTTCAAACATGGTTTAGGTGATTATAAGATGAATGTCTTAATGGAGTTCGAAGATGAGCATTTTCTGCTTAGGGTTGGCAGAGATAAGCAATTTGATTGGTTGATGCTTTGAGACTCGATACCTTTGGTTCAAATTAAGTGAGAGGGATGAAACTTAGTTTATAGTTTTGTCACATCAATACATTGACCAAGTTTGACAATCGGTATTTTCGGCTCGGGGTAAGCAGAACGATAAGCAATTTGATTGGTCGAGACTTTGGAGCTCGACCAATTTGATACTGATTAAGTGATAGTGGTGAAACTTGTGTATAGTTTCATTACATCAATACCTTAACTAAGCTCGATGCTGGGCATTTTCTGCTTAGCTTCATTACCAGGTACGTCAAACCCTGATTGAGTTTGATCGTGAACATTTTATGCTTAGAGTAAGCATAGCTAATCAGTTTATTTACCCGATACTTTTGAAAAAGATAAATATGTTTATTTTGGGATTTCGGCGGTGGACATCGGCCTCATTGTTGGCTTGTTTTCACAAATTTGAATATAACTTAATTGATGAAATACGAGAGCCTTGGCGGTTCAGTGAGTAGTAAATATTGGCTCACTAGTCACTAACCAGGTTTCCGCTTGTCAGTAGTAGTAGTGCACGACGAGTGCCTTTAAGCGTAGGGTTTAGTGCCACTGTCCGGGAAAATGTTTCCCATAGCACACTGCCTGGTGTAAGCCTGTCTTCAGTAACCTGGTTGGTGCTACGAACTAGGATGTTAAATCACATTGCATTTCATTAAACACAGATTTAATTTCCTTTATCAGATCCAATTATTATGCAAATAATAAAGAAAAATATTATCTATCGATCGATATATCAACTTTGTTATCAAAATGTACTACTTGATCTTGACAGTTGATTGATTTTAAAATTACAGCCAGGTTACTAAGAGCTATTACGGCAACGACTAAAGTGAAAGAATTGTTTTTCTTTCTTAAATATCAATATTACAGTCTCTATGGTATCCATATCAGTCGACTGGGTTACAGAGTTTTTAATCAGCAAGGCATTTTTTCCTCGGCTCGTCAAAATCATGAGAATTGAACCTACTGGCGATGATAAATTATCTCCGGGTTAGTCTATTATCAGATCATTTATTGTGTCTTTTGTCTGATTAGATTGAGTTGGGTTTCGTTCAAAACGGTTAATAGCAATATAGATAAGAAATGGGATTGAACACCAATGGTCGTGGTCATCAAGAGAGAAAACTGTGTTCTGTTTTTGGTTCTTACCTCCGCCACTTGTCCGTAATAAAACAAAAAAGAAAAGTGCCGATGGGCTTAACCGATAGTCAAGCAACAATTTCTATGGAGAAATTGAACAACAATAGCAAGTGTATTTTCTAAAAAGAAAAAAAGTCTGGTTTATGAATGGTAGGTATATCCTTCGGCACGGAAATGACTGCCCCAATTTAAAAACAATTAACGTATAATACAAATAAACGGAACCTTACTAGACTATAGATAATTAAAATGGCCTTTAAACGTCTCTGAAAATGAAAGTTCATGTATTTACGGTCACGTCGCTGAGTTTTTCAGTAAGGATTTATTACGGTGTCTGTGATTCTCCTAAAACGGCGAATAGCTACGCCAAAAAAATAGGGATAATGCGACTTAATGATCGGGATTCCTTTATTTCCAGAGTATTTTTTATTTCATCAGCGTAGATTTATTAAAAGACACTTTTCCTATCGCCACTGATAGGACATGTTTACATTACAAAGTATGCAACGATTCGGACGAATCTGCCCATTCATATTTAAGTTAGGAGAGTTCTCAGCGATTAAATTATCTCAAGGTCTAATTTTGGTCGAAAAACTGTAATAATTATTAGATCAGCGTAGAACTATTAACACATAAATGAAATGAAATGAAATGGGGTTTAACGTCCTACTGTTCTGCTCCTAACCTGGGCTAATGAAGACGGGCATACGCCATACAGTGTGCTATGAGAGAAATTTTGCCCGGGCAGCGGC